CTTCTTCTTCTTTATTTTTGTATTTATTTTGTAACTAGCCCCAATAACCTAAAACCGTGGTCTAGTGACAGGCCAGATCCCAGGTCTTCCTACTTCTGGTGTGGGAAGTACTGGTCTGTGGTCCCCACATATGATGATGTGGACACAGACTATTGGCTGTCAGAAATGTCCATCATGTGGACCTCACGGGGTCTTTAAGAAGTCCTCACAGGTTCCTGAAAAGCTGCATGGCAGTTCTGGACTGATAAAAGTCTAAAATGATTATATAATAAGTAATTCTCCTTTAAGGTAACATAACCCATTATTAAAAATATGATGTTTGTGGTCCTACACAGCTGCCTTTTATCATGGCGGATAAATCCCTCATCAGATGATCTATTATTGGGTGTGGAGTTGAGAGTACTTGATATAAACAATCATATAGCATGATGATTCATTTAAATGTTTGGCTTAAGAGGGTCATAGAAAGTTTCCCCTCTTCTGTCTGGACACGACCTAACCCATCAGCTACTGCTGCCTACAGTTGCTGAGTCACCACCCAACAAAGCTACTGCCAACCACAGTAACTGGTTCCAGTTGGCTAACTGCCCTGCCTGTATTGCCCTGCTGATGTGGATGTTGTCCAGAAATGTCCATCACATGACCCTCACAGGGTCCTCAAGAAGTCCCCCAAGGTTCCTCAAGGCCATGGTGGACCTGTGTCTTTATTCAACCTCAAATACTATGGTGCCAGAACACAAGCTGAGGCAGCAAGACACATCAGCTGGCCCGGAATACAGCTTCTGATCACTGCTCTCCAGAACCAGAAGATGCACCGTGGACCATCAAGTGACCTAAGTATGTAAAAGGAGATCTTAGAAGCTTTATATTTCTTTGAACCAATAAATGGCTCAATGAGGGGGGAAGAACATTGGAATTTTACAATTTTCTGGAGTTGGACTTTAAGGCTGCACATTAAGATGGATGAACAGGTTATTTATAAGTGTTTTCACACACAATTCACACAACTTTCACTCAGGATTTATGTATTTTTCCGGTTACTTACATAGTTTGTAAGGTTGAAAAAAAAAACACAGAGGTCCGTCTAGTTCAACCTGTACATGTACAGTATGTGTGAGCTTGTCTGTGTGTGCACTTATTGTCTGCATGTGTGTACATACAGTTAGAAAAGTGTGTGAATCTTGGGTGAAAGTTGTGTGAATCGACCCCTTCTATCTATATCTCATTATCAGTCACATATTCACACAAATAACAAGTTGTTAAAGGAAACCTTTCATGGGAGAAACATCTAGGCTGCCATTGCTGACTTCTGCTTCTGGAAACAATAGTTTTCTGGCCGCTATGCTGCTGCTTTGGCTAGAATAGTTTGAGTCTCTGACAAGTCTGCAAATTGAACCGAGGTACCGCTGTACATACTTATTTTCTAGGTGTCTATGGTCGTCCAGTTGCATGGTGATACAGGTCCTCCACCTTTCCTTCCTTTGGCGCTGGTGAATACTGTATATGTGGTGCCACTCTCTATAGTATTACATTGGAAGCCCAGGCCAGCACGATAATGCTCCCCCTGGGGGCGGGTCCATGACACCCTGGGCTCACAGAAAACGGGTTCAATGATGGCTGTCATTTAACCTGAAATGGAGGTGGCACTAGATCACAGGGAGGTAAGTCTACTGGGGAGGGGGCAGCCTGAGATAGGGTGAGTGTCACAGCATGAGCTGACTTTTTATTTGAGCACAAGCTGGAGTTCAGCTTTAATAATCAATCTTTTCCAATCTCTTCCCTCATACAAAGAACAATCATGCGTAGTTCACAGAGGCTTCCATAAGATTTTCTATTCTAACAATGGACATTGTGAGAAGTCAGGCTGGCCAATTTATCATGCTCTGATCCCTGCACATACAAAGACAGTCAGCTAGCCATCAAAAATGGTCAGAACGGTTCATAGCAGTTCTTCATACTCTGCAATCTACACTTCTGAACAGAAAATAGATTTTGGTGAAAAATCATTTACAACATCTGCTCCATTTTGGATGGAAGGGATGGATTCTATCACTCATGAACCTCACTGGCAAGACTTCTGTTCTTCAGTCTCCTAAATCACGGATAATTCAGCAGCAGGAATGATACCACCTTAATGGGCTTCATAATGGCCATTATGAGGGTCACTACTGGGAAATCTGGGGAGAAGGTCGTGCTACTGGTGTTTATGAAACATACAGTATATGAAACCGGTAGGTCTTTTATTCTATCTGCATCCAACCAAAATCTTCTCTTCTTAAAGGATGTGGCCATGCAAAAGTAATATTTTTTTTAGGTGGAATTTAGTAGGCTTCAGCCCCTGGCTTCATATACATCTCGAATACTCCAACATTGAGCTCTCCCTGCTATCATTCCAGTGTTCCGGTCCACCTGGGAGTTCTGGGATGACCTTCGTAAATGTATCCTCAGCACGGGGCATCATACTAAGGGGCATTTGCTGCAAGGGAAAATGGGAACCCCCATAATGGGCACAGCCAGTGTGCAGACCTGGGAGGAGCAAAGATCTCACCTAGTCCCTAGTAGATACACTATATGGTCAAACGTTTGTGGACACCTGACCAGTACTCCCACCACATGGGCCAAAGTAAAAGGATACCCCCTCCAAATTAAGTTTCGTTTTTCAAAGAAGTACTATTAACACATTTCAGACATTTCAGGCAATTGTGTGCTCCAGACCTTTGATTTTGTGAAGGCCCTTTTCTGTTTTAGCATGACTGTGCCCCAGTGCACCAAGCCAGTTCCATAAAGACATGGTATGATGAGTTTGGTGAAGGCCTTTTTCTGTTTTAGCATGAATGTACCCCTGTGCACCAAGCCAGCTCTATAAAGACATGGTATGATGCGTCTGGTGAAGGCCTTTTTCTGTTTGGGCATGAATGTACCCCTGTGCACCAAGCCAGTTCCATAAACACAAGGTATGATGAGTTTGGTGAAGGCCTTTTTCTGTTTTAGCATGAACGTACCCCTGTGCACCAAGCCACTTCCATAAACATATGGTATGAAGAGCTTGGTGTGGAGGAACTTCAGTGTCCTGCCCTGAGTTCTGACCTCAACCTTACTGAACACCTTTGTGATGAATTGGAAGGCCAGTTGTGACTCAGGCCTTCTTTTTTTTAAGCATGTCATTTTTATTGAAAGTTTTCCAATAATACAAAACAAGTCAAGCTTTGGTCCAATAGTTACAGGAGCAGAGTTTTATGAAACAACAAAAGTAACAAACATTAAATAAAATGACTAACATTCCGATAAGCATCACAATCATCACCGAAAACCACGTTGCACCACCGATATTGAGCATTAGGGGACTAGAAGGGTATTGCCGGGGCCATACTAGCATCTACCGGGTAGTAGTGCGTCAAAGGACATCTAGAGTGCCTAAGGTGCCCGCCAGTTTCGCCTTGTAATACCATTCCGTCTCTTTGAATATAACTATCACCTCTTGTAACTGACGTAGAGATAGTTCCGATGTTAAGTATGGGGTCCAGGTGGTAAAAAATCTGTCTGTGAAGGAGCAGATATATTGGGCATCGAGCTTATCTAGCCACATTAGCTTGTAAAGGAGTTCTTTCATGGAAAGTAGTGAGGGGCAGGGGTGTATCTACCGCAAGACAAACTAGGCATGTGCCTAGGGCGGCACTTTCCAAGGGGGCGGCAGAAAATGCTGCCCCAAACCAATAAGGTGGACAGGTCTGGACTTGCCTTTGGGCATACTGGGCACTTGCCGAGGCTTGGCGGCACAGAATCAGGCAGCGGCGGCTGCCTAATGAGGCAAACTAGGCAGCCGTAAGGCCCTAAGAGTGGCTGCCCTTGTAAAAAGCTGCCCGGAGGAGGGGAGGGCCCAGTGAGTTGCGGTCCGGCAGGCTTTGTACAGGAGGTGGAGGAGAAGAAGCGAGTGGCTCATGGCTGGTAATCGCATGTGATCTGATGGTGGGATGTCCCAGAAGCAGATTGGGGAACTGCAATGTATCCTGTTGGTACTGATGGCACTTCGAGCTGCAGGTAAGAGGAGCAGAACATCTATGCAGGGAAAGGGACTCTGCACAGTTCTCCTTAGACCCTACATGTCCTGAACAGGGTGGGTTGGGGCAAATTTAGATCGAGGGGGTGCCCGAGTTTAGTCTTGCCTAGGGCAGCACAAAACCAAAATACACCACTGGTGAGGGGGGAACAGGGGACAACCAGTTCATCAGGATGGCCTTTTTTGGTAGCTAGGATGCAGATATGTTCCCACCTGGAGGGCTGTCTAGAGTTTTCCAGGCCTTCTTATTCAACATCAATACCTGACTTTTTGGCTGAATGGACACAAATTCTCACAGACACACTCCGAAATCTTGTGGAAAGCCTTCTCAGAAGAGTGGAGGTTATTATGGCCTCAAGGGGGCAACTCCATTTTAATGCCCATAGTTTTGGAATAGTATGACCAACAAACACATCAAGGTGTGCTGACCGGATGCCCCCAAACTTTTAGCTATATGGTGTATAAAAATGTTTCCACTGGTTTCTCTCTTCAGCATCTACCAAACATAGAAATATCACTTTTTGGTAGAATAACCCTTTGAGGAACCTCGATCAAGCTGTGCATTGTATTCCTTAAATGAATGTATCCGTTCCCTTCCCATTCATGTACTCTTGCTCTATTCATCCTCTTTAGTGTCTTGACAGCTTATAGGTCTCTGGACAGACACATCGCCCTCTTGGGAACAGCAACTAAGTAATTGCCTGATGTACTGAGTGACATCTCCGATAGCCAGAACAACGCAGGCAATCAAGAACAAATGTGGGCGCTGCGCTGCGCTACGTCGTCTGCGGGCATCACCCATCAAGACGAGGGAATCCGGCGAAACTCTGCCATGACGTTGCTTTTTCTTAAAGATAAGGAGAGGTAGGTAGGATAAGATTTGGTCTTCCTTTGCTTGACAAGAAGCATGAGGGGGTGGATACATACAGAGTAACAATGTGAGTGCCTGAGAGGTGGGGGAATCACTGAGTATAAATATATGGAGAGGGAAGGCACAGACAGGCACATATCAGGAGAGGTCCGGACACAGGAGAACAGAGGTAAGACTGCCTTTTCTATTATCACCAGAGAGCAGCTCGCAGGGAGACGCAGAGAGAGGCGCCTTCCAATTTCATTCCCAATAACAAATCCTAACTGGATCTTGTTTGCACAGTTGGGAGGAATTCTCCTCCAAAAACCTATGCAGAAGACATTGAAATTGTCTATTATACATCCAGAGTCTTCTTACAATTTTTTTCCTCTGAAATGAATATATATATTTGTTACATTGTTACATCTTAAATACATATCTGCATGCTTTTGTTTGCAGCGGACTAAAGGAAACCTGGACTGCCTTGAATCAGGTTTTTGTTACATTGCATGTCTTGCTACAATGTTACATTTTAAATCTCCACACTTGTATTTTATTCTGTTTAGTTCTTTTTGTTGCATTGGACAACAGGAAACCTTTAATCCTCTTGAATCAGTTTGTTTCATGACTTTGAATGTTTTGCTACGTTGTATGTTTTGCTACATTGTTGCATTTGAAATACACAGTTTCTATTTGATTCTATGTATTCCTTGTTTTTTTTTTTATTGCACTGGACAAAAGGAAATCCTGACTCTCTTGAATCGGTTTGTTTTGTTACATTGAACGTTTTGCTAGATTGTTGCACTTTAAAGACATTTATAACGTATTTAATATCATAATATTTTTAATATACAATATCAAATTATTTAAATATTCATATTTTATTCTATTTCTTTTCGTGGATAAAAGGAACATCTTAACCACCTTGACTCAGTTAGTTAAAACTCTTTATAGCTTGCCAGCTTTTTTTTTTTTCTTTTTCTTTAAATACGTCTCATCATGTTCCACTTTATTGAAGCAGAATTTCCAACACTCATGCCGTCCGCATCAAACTTTGGTTGTAGGATAGCGCAATCGGCAGCCGTTACTCCTGCTTGTTACAAAAGAGAAATTGCGCGTGGTGCGACCGCCGCTTGCGTTTGGCTGTCTGGCGCAGAGGTGCTTTGGGCTGATGTAAAATGATGCGCTCGATGGTATGGAACGAGACGGGGGAGTTAAGTGGAGGGTATATACAGTAATTATATACTGAAAGCGTGAGATGGTGAAAAGGAATGCGCAAATCTGATGCTTGGTCTGACCAGGGTGCGTTATTTGCCGTCCTGCTGGTCTCAATGCTGCGCTGCATTATATATATTTATTTTAAAAGAAAAAGCATAAAATAATTAATTAGGGAATCCAAATGTGCTCTTTCACATGACATAGTTACATAGTTACTTAGTATTTGAGGTTGAATAAAGACAAGGGTCCATCAAGTTCAACCTTTGTGTGTGTGTGTGGTTGTGCATGTGTATGTGTGTATGAGCCCCTGTATGATCTAGTTTTTAAGAGTCCCTGTCCCCCTGTATGTTACGGTCTCTGAGGAAGGTATCTAAATGCTTTTTGAATGATTCTACACTCTCAGCTGATACCACTGCTTGTGGCAGAGAGTTCCAGAATGTAACCGCTCTGACTGAGAAGAATCCCCCTACGCCAGGGGTGCCCATTAGGTAGATCGCAAAGCGAACACTGGTAGATCGCGATCGGCTCACTGACCTGCGTCCTGTCCTCCCGCCGTGCTCACGCGGCTGTATGTGTCAGATGCCGGAGACGGGCAGGAGAGATGAGACTTGGGAAGCTGCTGCAGTGTAGGTAAGAAAAGACAAACAGGAGAGAGACAGCAGAGAAAGTGAGAGAAGAGACAGCAGAGAGAGAGGAGAGAGACAGCAGAGAGAGTGAGAGAAGAGACAGCAGAGAGAGAGGAGAGAGACAGCAGAGAGAGTGAGAGAAGAGACAGCAGAGAAAGTGAGATAAGAGACAGCAGAGAGAGAGGAGAGAGACAGCAGAGAGAGAGGAGAGAGACAGCAGAGAGAGAGGAGAGAGGAGAGAGAGAGACAGAAGAGACAGCAGAGAGAGAGGAGAGAGACAGCAGAGAAAGTGAGATCAGAGACAGCAGAAAAAGTGAGAGAAGAGACAGCATAGAGAGAGTAGAGAGAGAAGAGAGGGCCGGTTCACACCACAAAGTCTGCGTTCCAGAGTGTTCGGCCTCTAGAACACATTGGAACGCAAGCCGGTCGCCTCCCTAAGCGTGATCGCCCGCACCCGGAACGCAGGCACATTGATGCCTGCGTTTCACTCCAGTGCGATCTGCAAAAATAGTGCATGAAACACTAATCTGCCTGTATTCCGGGTGTGGGCGATTGCACTGGGGGCGTGGCTGCGGTGCCATGGACTTCTCCCGCCCCTGAATGCAGGTGTGTTTTCATTAGTAGATCTCATTGAGCTCGTCATTTGAAAAGTAGAACACCAGACGAAAAATCGTGGGCGCCCCTGCCCTACGCTCCCTTTGTGGTGAAATCTTTTCTCCGCCGATTTTAGGCGGTGACGAGGAGTATAATGTGAGGATCGGCAGTCAAGTGACTAGGTTCATCCTTTCTGAGCTAGGTGTCCCCAGGATGAGGGGATTTCTATGCAGCAGTTCACCAGCCGTAGTGACCTGTTATGACAGAGTCCTTCAATGCCCGGCTGCATGTTACAATGTAATGCTGAGCTCAGCGTGGGCACAATCCTTCTTAAAGGAGAACTATGGGGTCAGTGTTTTTTCCCCATAGTTCTCCTTAGGGTAACGGGAGAACACAAACTAGCGTCCTCCCGTCACCCTAAGCTCAGTATATAGGGAGCTACAGCTCGCGGTATACTGAGACGCCGCAGCGGATCCCGACATCGATGTCTGGATCCGCCCAGCTGCGTGAGCGACAGCTGGCTCTGCCTATCTAGAGGCAGAGCCAGCTGTACCCGCCCCCTCCCCCGTCCGTTCCGCCAGTCAGCGCTGG